TGAGAGAAAATCCTTGTGTCAGACATGCTGCCAGTATTTACAGAGTAGAATACTAACCAGATAGCCAATTTAAGCATCTTTGTACAAATAGGCCACAAGGAATTGTCCAGAGGACCTCCCTTACATTAAACATACATACAGAAACATTTCTATTTCTCTAAATATTTCATAGTATCTTTAACAAACATCATAGATTAAATTATTTCATGAACTCTAAGCATGGTTTGGACTATTGAACTCTATCCATGATGAATTCCAATTGACTACATTGCCTATGTTGTTTCATGTTTGGGAGAAACAAAAACAAACCCAAACAGGTTACTTAACCCCAATTAACTAACCTCCTGCAACTTTCAAGGAAATGTAATTTGCTTTGCTGTTGCCACGGCAACGCCTTGCTGGGCAACACTTATTAGTGATTAGAACTGTCAAGTAAATCCATCTGTGTGAGTGTGTGTATGTGGGTGAGAGACAGAGAGACAGAGACAGTGGGACAGACAGACATCACATAGATGGGCTAAAACCTTGTAAGGAAAGAAGCAATCTTAAGTGTGTGTGATGGCGTTAATCCTTCACACACATCTTGGCCATCTTGTCTCCTCTCTTCCTCTCTCACAATCACACGTGAAACACATGAAGGCCGGGAGCAAACCAAGGGGAGTGAAGAGTTCATGGAGTCTGAGCTATTAAATAAAGGACTGAATTTTCCTCCAGCGATTTCATTGCCTTTTCTTTTTCCTTTTTCTCCCCCTTTTTTTCCCTTTAAGTGACAGTTGGAATGGAACACTGAGTGTGTGTGGCAGAGAGTACAGAGATCTGCTGAGGAGCTGGCACTGTGACATGTGTAAAAATAGAGCCAAGTATAAGAAGTGGGAGTGGCCGTCATTCCATTGAAGCAGTTCACTTGAAGTTTCCCTTCACCTTTCCATGAACTGCGTTTCTGTTTATCTGCACTTCTGCTGTGTAATGTGGTGCAGTAGCCTGTGCCTTATTTTCTGTACTGTCTGTCCTTGTCCTTCACTGGAGTCCTAGCCCAAGCAGCAGCTGAGCAGAGGCACAAGCATACTGCGCAGTATCACCTGCATGGGATGCACTCAGGATTCCAGAGCCCAGGAATTCTACAGCCAATCAGTGTATTCACAGGCCAACCATATGGGCACCAACTGGGACCTGCTACCAGGTGAACTTCTAAGCCCCACTCCATACCTGCTGTGTCACATGATCTTTAACAAGATTCCAGGTGATTCTCATGTATATTTAATTAGCAATATTCTATAGGACAAAACAATGAAAACAAAATGTAGAAACACCCCAGCCTCCCCCCCCCCCCCCCCCACACACAGGAGAAACTCCTACATTAAAACAGACTTTGGGAACATATCCACTGCATGCCTTGCATGTGCTGCTGGAAAAATAGCAGATGCTCTGACTAGCTCCCAGAGTTGTCAAGATCAAACACAGGATGGGCGTGGAAATGACCTGTAACTCATAAAGCACCAGTCAAATGTTATCTGAACCTTTTTTTTTTTCTTTTTAAAACACAAGAGCAATTTTGAACTGAGTCATAAAAGAACTGTCACTTCCTTGTTCCTAAAAGCCATGTAGCTGTTTTTCAGGAGTCAGGGGCAGTAGGCCCCATCCTACAATCACCTGACCGCTTAGTGGAACCAGAACTTACCCAGGAGGACCAAAACCAGAGCCTCACAGATCTAGATTAGAAGCCAAGAGGCTAGCAACAGATCCTACACTTTTCCTGCTCCAGCCTACAGCATGTGGACTGTCCTACCACAGTGACAAGCCACCAGCTCTCTACTTCCCCTTATCCTGGCTGTTTCCATTGTTTCAGTAGAAGGTTAAATGGGAGACAGACTTGAGCTTGTCTCCTGTCTCCTTGCCAGTTGACTTGCAATACATCAACCTCCAAGTCTCTGTTACTGTCTCTGCCTGTCTATCTGTGTCTATGTCTCTGTCTCCGTCACTGTCTCTCTCAAAAACTCAGCATCACAGTTTGGCTTCTATGCCCACTGATATAAATCAAGTCTTTCAAACACGAGTTTTACAATCAAATAAGATCCCTAGATCTGTATCACAGCATCCACTGCTGTGCAACTGAAACAAGGGAATAAGTAGCTCACATTCCCAATTTCCTCATTTCTAAAGTACAATCGTGGTCACTGAGGTGGACTGGGTGACTGTCCACTCACCCACTCTCTCCCTCTCACAAGCAGGAGAATTAAACAATGTTCAAATACTGCACTGGCCCTGGAGAACATGGGAGTGGCATAGACAGTTATTTATTGTTGTTTTGGAGGTACCAGAGCTCAAACTCAGCACATCATGCTTATTAGACAGGCACTCAACCACTTGAACCATTCCTCCAGCCTCTTGTGCATTTGTTATTTTTGAGATAGGTTCTCAACTTATGACTGCAACAACCTGGGCTCTAATCCCCTTACTTACACTCCCACACAGTGCAAGGGATGACAGACACACACCAGGGCTGACTTTGAACCACCATCGGCCAATAGCCACCCTCCCAAGTAGCTAGGATTACAGGCTTGAACCACCACACCCAGTTGTATGAACCTTGAAATGGATGTCTTCCCTATGTTACAACAACAGCAGCCGCACTGACAACTGCTCCTTTGGTTAGGTTGAGGAGTGGGGAATAAAATACAACCATTTCCAATTTCCCATGGGTTCTTCCTATAAAATCCCCACTAGGTCCATAACACATTCTTACGCCTAGATATGGCTTTGAAAGTTTACATCTAAAGGGGATAAAAATATGCCATTATGACATACTGACTATTCTAAGTTAAAGGCACTTCCAAAAACAGCAGGTGCAAGAAGATTACTCTGACCTGTTTCTTGCAGACAGAAGATGAAATTCCCAGGTAAAGACTATTCTGGAATAAAAACAGCATTCTTATCAAGAACAGGAAGTTGAGACAGAAAATTCTGTGCAGACCTTATTTAAATAATTTGTATCTTTAAGTCTTCCTACATAATTTATTTGGTTTTTTTTTTACCAAATCCATTTTCTATCCAACTCTATACGTGTGCTTGATCCTAACTCTTCTTTGAGTCATTTTCTTATGAAAGTTCCCATGCTATGTAAAACATATTAAATGTATATCCTTTTCTCCTGTTTATCTGTCTTATGTCAATTTAATTCTCAGTCCTAGCTGAAAGAAGACCCTAAAAGGGAAAAGGTGATATTTTGATTCCCCTGCAAAACAATTATATGATCTTGTAAATTCTAACCTCTCCTGATAACACCACTTAGAATCATCAATCCATTTATCTGAAGTATACAAAACTGCAAGATTATTTACATAAAATGGATTGTCGAATGAGTGCTTGGAATTTTTAAAAAGTTGCTTCGGGGCTAGGAAGTTGACTCAGTGGTAGAGAACTTGCCTCGCATGCTTGAGGCCCTGGGTTTGATTTCTCAATACCACATAAGCAGAAAAAAGCCAGAAGTGGAGCTGTGGCTCAAGTGGTAGGGCATTAGCCTTGAGCTCAAGTGCTGAGCGACAGTGCCCAGGCCCAGAGTTCAGCCCCAGGCCCAGAGTTCAGCCCCCCACAACCAACAACAAAAAAAAAAAAAGAAGAAGAAGAAGAAGGAATTTAAAAGTTGCTTCGAACTAAGTGCTGATAGCTCATGCCTGTAATCCTAACTTCTCAGGAGGCTGAGATCTAAGGATTGCAGTTCAAAGCCAGCCTTAGTAGAAAAGTCTGTGAGACTCTACCTTCAATTAACAAACAAAATACCAGATTGGAGGCATGGCTCAAGTGATACATCACCAGTTGTGAGAGAGGAAAGGCCAAGTTCAAGTGCCAGCACTAACATGGAAAATAAAGTTGCTTTGATTTAGAATACAATTGGACAGGTGAAAACTTCTTAGTGTATACAATGGAAAATTTTACATTAGTTCAGCATTACATGAATTTGTTCTCACTTCTCATACTCTTAATTTTAGAACTAAATTTTGAAAATAATTTTGTTTCTCTCATTTTACTAATTTTGAACATCTGTGCAATTACTGTTACCTAAAATGACTCCAATCAGTCATAGGAGTCTTGGAATATGTGTATGAATGAGATAGCTCCTAGGGGTGTTGGATGAGCTTCCTCATCAGGAATATACCATTACCCAGTCACTTTGTGACTCTTCAAACTCACATTAAGACAATCAACCAGAAGTAAAACACCTATCAGCTGTTTGCTTACCACTTTTCCTTCCCTTTCCTTTTCCCTTTCCCTTTCCCTTCCTTCCTCCCTCCCTCCCTTCCTTCTTTTGTGTGTGTGTGTGTGTGTGTGTGTGTGTGTGTGTGTGTGTGTGTGTGTGTGTGTGTGTGTGTGTGTGTGTGTGTGTGAGTGAGCGCTGATTCTGGGGCTTAGGCTCAGAGCCTGGGTGTTCAGATGGCCTGCATGTCATCCCTGAACTTTTGTGTTCAATGCTAGCATTCTACTATTTGTCTTAGCTCTACTTCTAGCCTTTTGGTTAGAAGATATATTGGTTTGGAGATAAGAGTCTCACAGACTTTTCCGCCAGCCTGGCTTGGAAACATGATCCTCAAATCTCAACCACCTGATTAGTTAGGATTACAGGCACCTGGATTGCCTATCATTTTTACATATTGCTAGGTCTACACTTTGATTTCAATTAGAATCACAATAACCCTGCCCAAAACACACCAAATTACACGGTCTCTTTTATGTCATTTCAGTGAACCAGTACGTAAGCAAAGTGTATGGCAAAACAAGTGAACAATTTCTGGGATATAAAGAGTTCTAAAGCCGAGTTTTAACTGTTATAAAATCCAGGGGAAAAAGTTAGGAAAAATGTGATTTTTTTAATTACCAAATAGGTTTGAAGCTGGCAAATAGGTATGTGCAAAGTTAGTTTTCTGATCCCTTTGCCTCTTGTCTCTGGCACTGACACCCCAAAGCACACTGGGAGTGTGGAAAAGGGGCACACTGGGGTGACTTACGGAGAGAGGACACGCTGGAGGAACCCCGCAGAAACTGCTGTAGGCCGTCTTCGCCGTCGCTGGAGCTGGCCATACTGTTCCTCATCTCCAGCATGGAGATCTGTGCGCACAGGCTGAGCTGGTGCTCCAACTTCTTAGCTTTCTACAAAGCAAAGCTGGTTGTTTTTTTAATTGTAAAGGTGACGCACAGAGGGGTTGCAGATAAATATGTAGGTCATGAGTACATTTCTTTTTGGACAGTCTCACCCCCTCCCTCATTTTCTCCCAGTTTCAAAACAAAGTTTTAAGATTTATGGGACTTAAATCATATATTCCCTGTAAGTATGATTTCAAGGGAATCATGTATCATGTATTTCTTTGAAACAAGTTAGTGGGAGAGAGGGGGGTGCGGAGAGGGGAGAGGTTCATGCCTGTAATCCTACTTTGAGAGGTTGGTATCTGAAGATCATGGTTTAAAGCCAGCCAGTTCAAAGGCAGTAAAATCTGTGAAACTCTTATTTTCAATTAACCACCAAAAAGCCAAAAGTGAAGCTCTGGCTTCAGTGACAGAGTGGCAGCCTTGAGCAAAAAAACTCACGGACAGTTCTTAGGCTCTGAATTCAGCTCAGAGAGAAAGAGGGAGAGGGACAGGGAGAGGGAGAGGGAGAGGGAGAGGGGGAGGGGGAGGGAGAGGGAGAGGGAGAGGGAGAAAGAAAGAAATGAGGGAAGGGAGGGAGAAGGGAAGGGGGAGAGGGAGTACTTGCTAAACATAAAGTTCCCCATAAATGTAACCCACGATTTTTGTTATTAGCTATTACTACAACCACCTTATTAAAATGTCAATATACTCAGTAATGTTTATTAGTCTGAAATAATGACTATTTTTTTTCATGGGGTCTTCTAGTCTGTTCCATTGATCTTCCATGCAAAATTCTTTTTTTTTATTTTTAAACTATTAAATGACTTTTTTTTTCAGTGCTACATGAAGGATAGGCAAGAGCTCTACCACTGATTTTATATATATATTTATATATATATATATATGTATGTATGTATATATCTGCAGCCCTAACTTGATGAACAGCCTAGACAAGATGACTTAGGAAGCACACATTCATACTCTGTGTTCCTAGAGAACAGTTACCTAACACAGAAACACAGAAACAATGTTTTTGCAAGTTCTCATCTGTAATCACTTTAACTTACTTCTCATCAAATGTGGGACACCGAGATCAAAATGCAAACTATTGAGGATCTAGGCAGCTCTTGAAGTCCACCAAGTTCTACTAGCTATGGGTTCTTGGAAGGGGTCTGGTCAGGAAGACCTGAAGCCTTGGAAGACAAAGCTAACATGGCAGCTTTCTGCTGGTGGGTGTTTGTCAGCCTTTCTTCTGTCTGCACTTCCCAGTGCCCTGCTTCCTCTGCCTACTTCAACCCAACAACCTCCCAATTCCTTTGTCATCCTCTTCTGAAAATACATAGATTCTTAAAGGGGGCAGCTCTTCATCCCCAAAAATGCTGGTCCCTCTCTGCTACTTACAAATAATGGGAAACACGAGAATTACAAAATATATCTTTTCTCAACAAATGATTTGCTGAGGGTTCTCTCCATTTTAACTATCCCCTCTGCATTTAACATATGGCAATTTAGTGAAAATTCAAAGAAACATATTAGGGAAAGAAAAGTACACCTCACTATAGATATTAATTTTTTTTAATTCAGAAAAGTACTTACCTTTTCATTCAAGGTGGGATCATTCAATGAGTAGAGTTTATTTGTAATGTCTTTTCCTATAAGATACCTAAATATTTCATATAGGAAAGGCTCTGATTCCAGAAAGTAAGTTAATCTTTCTCTTGACCAGCATAAGTATCTGCAGTTATCATCTGCAACAATGGTGACCTGTCAGAGAAATAAACATGTGAAGAAGAAAGTGCATCTACATGGGTGAAACAGGACTATAATAATTTGTGGAGAAGGGAAGAGCAGAATAATTTAGTCAATGTTACCAGGACAATGTCAAATTGGTTAAGCGCCAACGTACACAAGCTTCTGTACCTACATATAAAACAATGTTTAAACTGGACTGAAATATGTATATACAAGGGAGTATTCCACTGGTGTAAATGACTAACTTACAGTCTAACAAAATGAATACCAGGAAGCTGAAACATGTTTAGTTAAAAGTAGGGGAGAGGGCAACGGGAGAGATGGCAAATACATGAGTGGACAAATAGAGTCCTAACATTGAATGTACACATGTGAAAATGGAACCAAGTAATGAGGGGACAGGTAGGGTTGTGGGAGATGGGAAGAATGATAGAAGGGTGACATTGATCAAGATGCATTGTATTCATAAGCTGACACAATGGACTGAATCCCCTTTGTACAACTACTCAAAGATAATAATAAAAAATGTAAAACTATCTTTAAAAACAACCCATCCATCGGCAGATTAAACACAAGTAAATTTAGATTTTTGTTGTCTGAAGTCTGGGAACAGAAGGACAGCCACTGTGTTCATTATTACTCTTGCGGTATGCTGGATAGATACTGCAGTTGGACATGCGATTTACGATTACCTATTTCTTTATTCCGGATTAATTGGAGAACAGAGATTCAAGGAAAGATCTGTGAGGCAAATTATAGGTGGAAGACCTGCCAAAGTTACTCCACAAATATACACTGAGAATAAGAAAACTTTCAGGACTTAGGCTTGTTGTATTGAGGGGCCCGTGAACATTCAAAACTAGCTCCAGAGACACTCTTCCTCCTCCCATGATCTCAGAACTGGGAGCTATGTCCTCTCTTTGAGTAGCGTCACACAGGAAAGCAAGAGGGTGCTGTTACAACACTCCAGAGCCCAAGCATTCCTCCAGTAAATATTTTCTCTAGAGCAAGGGCCAGGCCCTCTTAGCAAAGTCCAGAGACCCTTCTTCCCACACTGGCCCTCTTGCCAGCACTCAGTGCTCCTGTTCCTCCTTCCTTACAATACTCATTTCACCATGTTCAAACTCATCTGCTGATACATCGCTATATTCTGATGGCAGGGACTGAGTGTCTTCAGGCCTGGTGCCTGGATTCCAGGCCACAGTGCTGCTTATTGTGTTTATGATATGAAAGAGTTAACAAAAGAACACAGAAGCTGTTGAAGACAAACACTGTCTTATATCCTCAACTCTAAGCCAACACCTGTTCTTGTTGGAGATTAATAAAAAGTTTAGGAAATGGACACAAGGTCTTATCAAGCCTCAGAACAAATATGTCCAAAGGAGCTTTCTCTCCTCTGTTAGTGACAAATATTAAACACATGTCAGATGACAAAGGAGGATTTAAGTCTACCAAGAGAAAAGAAATGACAACTCCAACTTTCTCTTGTTTCATCAATGGGGTTTGTCTACCTTAAAAAGTAATTCAGTATTCCTTCAAAACAGCAGGCTTCTTTATTATATTAAAAGTAGGGATCGCTCAAACTGAACATGTTTGCATGTTGCATCTTTGAGACTCCATAAGACACTGAATTTCACTAATTCTTTCAACATACTTGATGCCAGATACTATTCAAGACACTAGGTTATCATGGTGACCAAGAAAATCAAGATCCATTGTCTGGGTATGGTGGCATATATCTGTAATCCTGGCACTCAGGAGGCTGAGGCAAAAGAATCACAAGTTTGAGGCCAGCCTGGGTTACATAGTAACTACTTGTCTCAAAATAAAGGAAGGGAAAAGAAGAAAAAGAAGAAAATATCCTTACCCCCACAAAGCTTTCATCTAGCAAAAGAGGCTGATAACAAGTACAGAAATATGAGCAAACAAATACACAAGAGATTGGTAGAGCATCTCTAGAGGATGACAGCTGCACATAATGTCATTTATTTTATATGCATCTATTGTTCTTACAAACTTTTTTAAATGTTTGTACTTCTATGGTGGACGTGGATCCTTTAAAAACAAATGGCAAATGAGAAGCACCAAAGATCTTCTTCACAAGCACGTGTTAATTACCAGTAGCCTGAGAGCTCTTGATTGTAAACAGATTTTCCAACCAGGCAAATCCAATGATGCATCCAATATACATCAAGACAAGTGCACGGGAAGTAACCTGGCCAAGGGACCATCTGGTTGGCTGCACAGCCCACTGACAGCCCCTTCTTGAAGAACAGCCACACACTGGCTCCAATGACAAAGACACAGGCTCAATGATGCCAATGTAGTTTGTATCCACTGGCCAACTATGAAATGCCAAACCAGGCTCTGTGCAGAATAAAGCTGACGTGAATCAGCAAAGTACAAATCAGTGTCCATCTGGCTGTGGTAGCTCCATTTTGGTGATGCTTCACATTAGTTATGAAGAACAATTCTCATCCATCAAAATCGACTTTCCCCACCCCCAAGAAGAAAGACCACTGCAGCTACTGGTAGAGGATATTTTCGTCTGTTAACTTGGTTATAAATATAATTTGATATCACAACTTCTGTGATGATGCCAAGGCTCCAAGTGGGTCAGTCCCTACTTGAATATAAACCAGTTCTACATCCTGCCATAAGAAAATTAATCGTGGGCTCCATTCTGGGGGACTGAGGTGCCTAGGGGAACTGCCAGATGAGGATCAAAACAGCAGCTGACAACAGGACGATGCAAAGGAAAGAATTTATTACTTCTCTTTTATTTCATGCATGGTAGAGTATTTCTCACTAGAAGTAAATGGGAATGTCCTAGAAGTGGTCTGTTCAACTGGTGCTTATTGGGTTTTCGTGAACATTAAAATGTAACACCATGAAAACTGGTAGATTAAATTGTTTTCCAGCCTCACTGAAACCTTTACCTAATAGTAAAGTTCTATGTCCTTTATGTCCCAGTTAAATCTTAATACTCATTTGTTTCACTAGAACATGGACATAAGCCTACAAGACATTGTTCTTCCCTTAAAGCCAGTGAAACTAATTTTCATGCTTTGAAACACAAGGGCATGCTACTGTTTATGGAAAAGCAGCCACAGGATGTGGAATACAAGAGAAAAACATGAAATCAGTATGGCTCATTTGATATAAAACAATCATACACAGAAGAAACCAGACAGAAATACTATCTTCTAATGGTAGTCATGATTCTCTAAACAGTTATAAGCAGCAGCTTTGGTAAGTACCAAACAATTGCAAGCACCTATGGAGAATGAACTTCAAGTTCCGGATCTGTATTCTCTGCTCTGTCGCCATGTCTGCTATCATTATAATTACTACCTGAACAACACTCAAGAGATAGCCAAGTCTACTTTCCTCCTTTTGTTAAATCATACAATTCATCGGCATCCTGACCAGAGAATGAATTCGAAGAAATAAAAGTCAAAGGCTATAGCTCCTTTTCAGAATGATCCCTAACCAGCTAGAGTTAAAGAAGGATGATATTAGCAGGTAAAAATGCATATCGGTGACATTATGTCAATGATAATTTTAAGTGTCTTCTACGATGGGCCTAGGGAGTAGGCATTGACTTGGAAGAACAAGATGCTTTTCACTTGAGAAGAGACCCAGTACATAATATTCTTTCTCAGATGCACAACTGTCTTTTATTCCTAAGAACTGCCGGCACAATGAAAGCACTTCCTCCCTTGAGGATTTACACTGACGACACTGACACTGACTGGAGAGGCACAGGCTCAATGATGCCAATGCAGTTTGTATTCACACCAGACTCTGTGCAGAGCAAAGCTGAATGGAATGAACAAAGAACAAACAAATGTCCTGTGTCCAGTTATGTACAGTACCTCAAATTTGGTTATAGTCTTAGAGACTTCACATTAGTTAGCAGGAACAATTCTCAATGACCAAAACTGAGTCCCTAGTCCCTAAGAAGAAAGAGAGCTGAATAGAGACCCGGAAACACAACAAATCAAAGAAAGGTTGGACAAATGGGATTGTATAAGGTTGCAGAGCTTCTGCAGGGCAAATGACATAGCTAGCAAGATCAATAGAAAGCCCACGGACTGGGAGAAGATCTTTACTAGCCATACAACAGACAAGGGTCTCATATCTAAAATATACTTGGAACTCAAAAAATTAAACCACCCAACAACAAATCCTCAAAGAAACAACTGCCCAATAAGTAAGTGGGCGAAAGACTTAAAGAGAAGCTTCTCTGAAGAAGAAAGAAGGATGGCCAATAGACACATGAAGAAATGTTCAACATCCCTAGCCATAAAAGAAATGCAAATCAAAACAACATTGAGATATCACCTCACTCCAGTTAGAACGGCAAAAATCAAGAACTCTAACAACAACAGATGCTGGAGGGGATGTGGACAGAAAGGAACCTTACTTCATTGTTGGTGGGAATGTAAACTTGTTCAACCACTTTGGAAAGCAGTATGGAGGTTCCTCAAAAGACTTCACATAGAGCTCCCCTATGACCCAGCAATCCCACTTTTGGGCATTTACCCTAATGTTCACAAACAAGACCACACTAAAGCTACCAGCACAACTATGTTTATTGCAGCATTATTTACCATAGCTAAGATATGGAACCAACCCAGATGCCCCTCAGTAGATGAATGGATCAAGAAAATGTGGTATATATACACAATGGAATTCTATGCCTCCATCAGAAAGAATGACATTGCCCCATTTGTTAGGAAATGGAAAAACTTGGAAAAAATTATATTAAGTGAAGTAAGCCAGGCCCAAAGAAACGTAGGTCCCATGGTTTCCCTTATTTGTAATATCTAGTATATGTATGAGTCAAGCGGAAAAGGTCAGATAATGTGATGTCAGGAAAATGAACCCTTAGATGTGTATTTTAATGTTTTTTTCTTTCATGCATGTGTTTCTAACACATTTATAAGATTATCTCTTTGTTGCTTTGTATGTCCCTCCTCCACAGTATAACCCCTGCTTTCACTATATTTGATGTCAGTATAACTTGTGGAGGAGATGGGGAAAAACCAGTTGTTTAAGGATACAGGTGGACCTGTTGCAACAATGAGAAGTACAAGTTGTCATGTCCAAAACGAGCTTTACAACGTTGGGGCGGGGGGGGGGGGGGGGCGGGGGAGGGGGGGAGGAGAAGGATTGGGATTAGGGGGGGAGGGGGGAGGCTGGGAAGGGATGTGAAGGATAAACAAAGGAGGAGGCTGCAATGCTTGGTAAGAAATGTACGCATTATCCTGCCCATGTAACTGTAACTCCTCTGTACAGTACGTTCACAAATAAAATTAAATTAAATTAAAAAAAAAAAAAAAGAAGAAAGAGCTGAAGCTACTGGTAGAAGATTTTTTTGATAATTATATATAAAATAAAATTTGAAGTCCTATGGAGAAGGTGGAACCTGTTTGTATGCCTGGTCTCTCAGGCATGACTTCGTTCTGATAACAAAGCTTTTTCCACCCAACCTAGATCCCTGTCTCTTCTGTATATGAGACTGAGCTATAGGAAGCCATGTGCTACTATACACAAATGAACAGACAAAACAGGTAACTCTTGGGCTTGGGAAGAAGCATATATAAGGAGGTCAGAAGATAGGAGGAGAGAAGAAAGAAGTAGCAGTCTCTCACTCTGTAGATGGCAGTGATTAAAGACATTGTTATAATTAGAATGCAATTCTCAGAGCAGAGTTGACCTCTGGAAGAGCAAGGTGACAGTGAAAACCAGAAAAGCTAGCCTTAGCTTTCTCATTCTGTATATTAAACCCAGCCATCATGAGAAGAATATTGCACATAGTCAGTGACCTTTTGTGAGACCTTCTAGTAAATGCATCTAATATTAACAAACTGCATGATTCAGGCCAGGCAACAGATAGGACAGGCCAAAGGCGAAGACTGAAATCATTGTAAATAAGATAAACTACATGCCTCTGAATTTCCCCTCTTATCTTGACTCTGGTATTTCAAGTGCATAGCATCTCATAATGTATAAAATAAGCTGGGTACTGGTGGCTCAGATCTGTAATCCTAGCTATTCAGGAGGCTGAGACCTGAGGGTCGTGGTTCAAAGCCAGCTTGAGGAAAAAAAAGCTCAGGAGAAAGCCAAAGAGAAGCAGTAGTTCAAATGGTAGAATGCTAGAGTTGAGTGAAAAAGTTCAGAGACAGCATCCAAGCTCTCAAGCCTAGGACTGGCATAAAAATAAAAACAAAAAAGGGGGGAGGAAGTCTATAAAATAGGATTTTGCCATGAAGAAACACTGACAAGTCTTTTTTCTTTGGGTAGTAGATTCAGCTTCCATTCCATTTCCACCCTCTCACCCTGTTTATCCAGAGGCCAAGGAAGAAAATTCTTGCCTGTATCATTGGTTACTTTCCCATCAATAACAAGTTCAGTAGGGGGAGAGGAGAAGAGTTACACTTCAGAAAGAATCAACACAAAGTGCCTTGAAATGGAGAAAGTTTTTTTTCTTTTCTTTATTTTTTTAAGCACAGAAAAAATTACACCAAATTCTCTACCTTGAAATAACTTCCACTGGGAATAATTTCATCTTTTTGTTCTTAAACATTTCCAGTCAGTATAAAATGAAAATGATTGGATTTTTCCCACAATGATTAGCAAAATAAATTCTCTAAGGTAAAGCCAGTTTTCTGTTTTTCCCTAACAAATGATGCTTTAGAGACACTGATCATCTACAAGTGACATTGTCCTTTTGTCTCATAATGAAAACATGAGACGTTTTCTATGGAAAAAATTATAGAAATCCAAATAAGCAGAAAGAAAATAACAAAGCAAGCAAATTCATAACCTAGAAATAACAATGTTAACAAGGTCTAAAGTTCCTTTGTACACATATACATACAATTTTTAAATTTTAAAATAGGATTATGCTAGGTATAAAATATGCTAACATCTTTTTCTAATAAATCATGGTCACTTTTCTGTTAATATTCATCAGATTTCAAATAAGATATCAAGTAGTTATTCTCTTCTTAAAAATCATGCCAAAACATACCTGGAATTTTTCACCTTTGTGCATCTGGGTTGATCTAAACTCAGGAGAATCAATAAAGGCACAGGGGTAAATGTTATGCAGAAAATGCCCTCGATAGGAGACCTTCATTCTGATAACAGAAAGCAATGTTTAATAAGCATATATTTCATAAATAACATTCTAATCTTTAAAACCACCATAATCTTACAGGATTTTATTTTGTAGTAGATTAAAAATTCCACAGATGGCAAAGTATGGGTGGCTCATGCTCATAATTACAGAAATATAGATAGGTACAATTGTGGATCCAGGACATCCTGGGGAGAAAAGTTTACAAGACTTCATCTCAGTGGAAGGAAGCTAGATGTGATGGCACACATCTGTCATCTTTGCTATGATGGGAAGAGAAACAGAAAGGTTTGGTCCAGGCACATATGGGCAGGAAGCGAGACAACTACCTCAAAAATAAGCAGTGCAAAATAGGTGTGGTTCTGTGGTAAAGTGCTTGCTTAATCAAGCATTAGGCCCTGAGTTCAAACACCAGTATTGTCAAAACAAAAATTACACAGATAATGAACAGGACATAATTAACAGCACTTCCTAAGGCACAAGTATTTGTAGCCAAACATAACCTGAGTAAAAAGAAATAGCATCTATTATTGAACCAGCACAGAGCTCTCAAACAACTCTAATTGCTCTTACAGCTAGAGTGACATTTCAATTTGTTACACCAGGAGGCTTAAAGCTATACTATTAATAAAATACGTCTTAAGCTTGGCAACTATTTAGGCTGAGGCTGAAGAAACACTTGAGTCTAGAAGTTCAGGACCAACCTAGGCCATACAGTGAGACCCTCATATAACATAGTAAGTATATTCACATTACACGCAGGCTTTCTCTGGAGAATACTAATATTCCTAGAAATGATACTTTTGTGATATTCAAAAAATAAGCAAATCACCTCTGTGGCATGCATAGCTTCTTCATACTTAATACCCAACTCAATCCTACATTATTTTGGACTCATTAACTTCAAATAAAAAGTCAAAAATGACTTGCACAAAGGGGCAATACCCAAGCGCCTCTTCTTCATATGTATATAAAATAATATACATACTGAAACAAACTCTAAAGATATGGAAACAAAGGACTTTTTTCTTAATTTGTTTTTTTTCTTTTTCTGATGACTGTATCCTTTACCTTATATACAGTGTATTCACATGCACATCTGGGGGGCGGGCACAGAATCAGAGGAAAAAGGGTGAAAAAGTACAGCAGTGGAGCACACTGGACATTAATGAAAGTGAACTATGTAACTTGTGAGTGGAGATGGAAGGGCGAGAATGTGAGAGAATGTGGGAATAGATGACACTATGTGAAAAGAAATACACTATTACCTGACCTAAGTAAAGGTAACCCTGCTGTATATCTCCTCCAAAGCAATAAAGTAAGTCAGAAAAAAAGACACTAGGGTTTGAAAAAAAGAGTCAAAATGGTTAAAAATATTAACAACTGAATTACACTCATTTCCTTTTCAGAGGACATTTGGAGAATGAAAGCAAACGAGGAGCTTGGCTTTCCATACCTTCCCTTCAGCAGGATACTCAGACGGTCATCAACTGAGGTCTTATCCTCTGCAGCATATGTCTGGCCCTTTCGCAAGGTCTGGATCATACAAAACTGTCCAGTTAATCTTCGGAACAAATCCGGAGGCACCCTGAGTGGTTCAAACAATCGCCGGTAGATGCCACTGAGTTCTCTTTCAATCTTGACCTGAAATGCAGCAACATGGGAGGCTGTTAGTACACGTACACACACACACACACACACACACACACACACACACACACACACACACACACACACACACACACACACACACACACACACACACACACACACACACACACACACACACACACACTTCTGTGGCCTAAATTTGGTCTTGAGAATATACAAATCTGTGCTACACACTACCAGCCTTCTGAATTTGGGTCAATGGAATCTTACATAGAGAATAAGCAGTGGAATGTTTCTACTTTTGCTAAAAGGGTGCACAAGCTCCTTTTCCTTGGAAAGCACAAGGAAAAACCAGCACTACAGACCATACTTCTTTCTATTGACCATGAGGCCACTGTTGAGGTTTTAGGTCTTGTTACAACCTGCACCTTCTCCCCTAAGAACCTTCTACAAATAACAAATTATACTACTTCTAAATATCATAGCAAGGAAAGGAACTACACAACACAAGAATCAATGTGAAAGTAAATTTACAAAAATGATATATTTCTGTGCAATTATCATTTAATTCACCAATATAGGAAATCCAACATTCACAGCTTTAGGCATTCCTTCACATGTAAGTATTCTCAAGAAAAGTTAAGGAAAGAAAATGGCCTAGGAGTTAATTCAGGTCTTTCCTAAGTTAAAATAAACTGTGAGCCAAGCACTGATGTCTCATGCCTGTAATCCTAGCTGCTCAGAAGACTGAGATCTGAGGATCTCAGTCCAAAAATAGTTTGGAAAGAAAAGTCTGTGAGACCCTTATCTCTAACTAACCATCAAAAAGCTGGAAGTAGAGGTGTGACTCAAGTGGGAGTGTCAGTCTTGAGTGAAAAAGCCAAGGAAGGCACAAAGCCCTGAGCTCAAGTCTCAGTACCAGCACACACACACACACACACACACACACACAAATACATACATACATACATACACACACTCCAAACCCATACTGTATAAGGCTGGTTACTAGAAGAACAGAAAAGCAAACTAGCTTAATCACCTTTATTGCCAGATTTTCCCAGGACCATCTGGACCCAGTACTGTCTCTGGAAGTTACACTAATTGGGAGGCTGGAACACTGTGTTGCACTGTGATGATCTCTGTCCCTGTGAAAACTCTGATAGACATGCTACCAAACCTACAGACCCACATGCCACAAGATCCACTCCCACTGATACCATTCTAACAGCTGCAATAACCCTATTTGTCCTGATGTTTCCTTTGGATGATGATCCAGCATGGATTAATAGTCTGAGACGAAGCAAAAGCCTCAATAACTAAGTGCTTTTCATATTTATGTGTCAATCAAAACAGCAAATTAGGAACTTTGTATTCTGGGGTTCTAGAAGGTTCCAGTAGTCAAGAACTGTTGTCGTCATTATTACAATAATCGAAGTAGTACTTCCCCAATTCCAGAGCTCCAGTAACTGACATTTAAAATTATTTATTCATGAATATGTCCTACTTTCAGCATGTACATTTTCCAAAGTAGTGCAGTAAGGAAAACAAGATCTGAAAAGTCTAGTAACATACATTCACATTCAGTTGCATCCTTCAAGCCTCAGCTCCAGACCCAATTTCATCATGAGGCCCTCTTAATTCTCTTTGGAAGCATGTGTTCATCAAAAGATTTTTCTCAGCTTCTACAAGGTGCCAATCATTCACAGGAATGGAGGCCAAAATAATAATTGTGCTAGATTATTTATTATCATTCCCAATTACTTGCTGCACTCCCACCCCTACACTGACCCTTACCTATACTGTTCTCCACATTTGCGGGCCTGTCATGACCTTGTTTGGCCAAGGAAGTAGGAGCAGAAGTGATTTGTCCCTTCTGAACAGATGTTTTAAGAGACACACTGGAGGTTCCTTGCTCCTCCCTTTATGACAGATTGCTGATTCTTCTCCTGCTAACACTCTTACCACTTGAGCCACAGCCCCACTTCCAACTTTTTATGTGATTAATTGGAGATGAGTGTCACAGACTTTCCTGCCTGGGCTGGTTTCTATCCTCTGATCTCAGTCTGCTGACTAGCTAGGATTACAGGTGTGAGCCATTAGCACCCCATTCTTCTTCTTTTTTGGTACATTTTTTATTGTAAAAATGCTGTACATAGGGGTTACAGTTACATGAGCAAGGTAATGAGTACCTTTCCTATTGAGCATTGTTACCTTTGTTTTCCCCCTACCATCCCTTCCCTCCCACTTCCACAACTACTCCCCCTACCCCCTTCCCCTCTCCCCCCTCCCGAAGTTGTAAAGTTAGTTTTCAACATAGTGTTTTGTACATCTCATTGTTACAATGGGTCAGCGTATATCCTTATTTAAGCATTTTGTTTTTTCCCTTCCCCTTCCCGAATTAGAGGAGTGTATATACAAATACAGTGAAATAGGGGTTATACCGTGGGGGAGAAACATACAAAGAAACAAACAAAAAAAACACATGGTACATTATAAATATGTTAGAAACGATAGCAAGAAAGAAAAAAAGATATTTGTGTCCCTTTCTTTGGGTTCATTTCGCTTAACATCATCTTATCTGGTCATATGTACATAGCTTTTGACCTTTTCTGCTTGTCCCAGACGTATGCTAGTTATTGCAAATAAGGGAAACCATGGGACCTATGTTTCTTTGGGCCTGGCTTACTTCATTTAGTATAACTTTTTCCAAGTCTTTCCATTTCCTAACAAATGAGGCAATGTCATTCTTTCTGATGGAGGCATAGAATTCCAGTGTATATACATGTACAACATTTTCTTGATCCATTCATCTACTAAGGGGCATCTGGGTTCGTTTTATATCTTAGCTATAGTAAATAATGCTGTGAAAAACATGCTTGTGCTGGTAGATTTGGTATGACCTTGTTTGTGATCATTTGGATAAATGCCCAAAAGTGGGATTGCTGGGTCACAGGGAACTCTATGTGGAGAAATCTGCATACAGCTTTCCAAAGTAGTTGACAAGTTTACACTCCCACCAACAATGCAGTAGAGTTCCATTCTGGCCACATCCCCTCCAGCATCTGTTGTTATTAGAGTTCTTGATTATAGCCATTCTAACTAGGGTCACCCCCCATCTTCCTCCCCGCTTCCTCCTCTTCCCCCTCCTTCTCCTCTTCCTCCTCCCCTCCTTCTCCTTTTCTTCTTCTCCTCCTCCTCCTCGTCCTTCTTCTTTTGGAGACAAGTCTCTCATATAGCCCCAGCCTCACTTCCCCTTTACTATGTAGTCCAGGCTGGCCTCAAATTGGAGATCCTCCTGCCTTAGTTTCTTAAGTTCTGGGATTATAAATATGTGCTGCCATATTCAGACCTATTCTACTTTTTTTTTTGGGGGGGGTCTGGTCATGGGGCCTGAACTCTGGGCCTGGGCACTGTCCCTCAGCTCTTCAGCTCAAGGCTAGTGCTCTACCACTTGAGCCACAGCGCCATTTCCGGCTTTTTTTCTTTTTGCTTATGTGGTGCTGAGGAATTGAACCCAGGGCCTCAGGCATGCAAGGCAAGCGCTCTACCACTGTGCCACCTTCCCAGCCCACCTATTCTACTTTTGTTCTTGGTATGAACAGCAAAATATATAACAAGATAGATCAGATCTGAAAATAAAAAGTTAGATAGTGGTGTTTTTGGTAACTACTATCATAAGTGGTGATTTCCTGAGGTATATATTTTGGGCTAAAGGAAAATACATAAGAAAAAGTACATTCAGAAGGGGCTGGGAAGTTGGCTCAGTGGTAGAGTGATTGCCTCACATGCATGAAGTCCTGGGTTCGATTCCTCAGCACCGCATAAGTAGAAAAAAGCTGGAAGTGGCACTGTGGCTCAGGTGGTAGAGCCCTAGTCTTGAGCTGAAGAGCTATGGGATAGGTCCCAGGCCCAGAGTTCAGCCCTCACAAACCGCCCCCCCCCAAATACATTAAGAAAACAGCATTAACTACTGAAAATCAACAGAAGCTGCCTATGAGTTAGTAATTTTATAACTAGGCAGAGATAGTCCTAAGTGACACTTGAAGACTGACAAAGAAATAATCAAATAATATAACTTCAAAAAAGAATATTATTCCTAATTTTTATGTTCTTATGATTTCAACTGTTCAAACATCATCTGAAGAACAAATTTCAGACCTGCATACATAGAAGGTCTAATCTCCAGAGAAGTTACATTTATGTACTAAAGATGCCAGATGATCATTCTAAGTTGGAACAAAGTAGTTTAAAAAGCTTTTATATTTAAAATCATTTCCTTATTAAATAATTTTAGTAATTACCGGTCTTCTCTTGTACAAAAGATAAGAAAGATGCAAAATGTTGATCCCCAGGAACACGGAGTTCCAGATCACTATATCCAAGGCACATCGGTAGAGTGTGGCCCAGACGATGTAAAGGGTACATCCTGGTCAAAAACAAAGTTAACACGTTACATAGTTCAAACACCTTTAAATTTACCTTCTGTTTATAAATCTAGCATTTTAGGAATATCTAAGCTGAATAGCTCTTAGGTTTCCATTTTGTAGCTCATGCCTTATAATCCTAGCTACTTAGGAGACTCAGATCTGATTATCACAGTTCAGAGCTAATCCTGGCAGGAAAATCTGTGAGACCCTTATATCAAAATAACAAAAAACGGAAGCAAAAACAAAACAAAAAGAATGGAATTAGAGGTATGGCTCAAGTGGCAGAGTGCCAGCCATAAACAAAAAAGCCAAGCAAATTCAATCCCCCATATTGACACAGCTGAAATAAGTCATTAATAAAAGTAAACTTAGCCTCCTGAATTTTCCATTCATGTACTGGATTTTTTTTTTTTACACAAATTCTCTTATGTGAGGTATCCTGTTTCTGTTGGTTAATTTTATGTTATGAAAGTAACTAGATACTTTTAAAGTGAAATTATCACTGATGCAAATATATTGGCACGCATGTACACATAAGGTAATCAGTTACATTTTTTTTCACTTATCTGGACGATTTGGGAGCCTTTGAGTAAGCTCAGATTTTACTTGTCTAGGCCTTACTTTCTTCATTCATAGGCTAAAGTACTGGACTAGAGAATCTCTGTGGTCCATTCCACATACCAAACTCCCATCTTAAAATTCACAATTGGAATTTGCTTTGTGATAAGATATTCTACATTCCCACATTGTTAGAGGTCATGCAGCTCCAGGAGCCCCACAAGCTGCTTTTCATCTGCCCTTGAAGCCGCTTCTTGTCATTCATATATCTTTAGGCACAAAGAGCTGCTCTTCACTTACCCCCGTGCGCTGAATTGCCTTCCCCTCTGCGCCCTTTACCAGGACCACAGGCTCACCCATGGAGAGCCCTGCTCTAAAAGCCAGATGCACTGTCACTGCCCAGTGGGACCTTGCTCCTACCTTCCTGCTCAGCTTACTGCTTCTCCATCACCCTGGGCGCGGCGTGCACCTCCTGCTCCACAACATCCACACCCCATGCTAGCACTGCCCATCTGTTTTGACAAAATGAAGACTACCTTTCTCAATCTTTGACACGTTATAGGTGTCAAAAATGCATTTGGATAAATGGATAATCAGAATAATCGAATACAGGGAATAATCTGTCAAGTACCGCAAGCTAAAATAAATGTAATTGTTTTATTATTTTGATATGAATCAAATTAACTTGCCTGGTCAAGGTTACTAGGGACAAATATATACATACTTGTGTATGTATGTATATATTTGCTCCCAGTGCTGCTTCTCAGGCCACATCGTATCTTCTCAAATAATAATGGTTGAGACTGTATAGGGCTTACTGTGCCAGGCAGATTCTAAAACCTATATCCCTATTTATACCTATTTATTTATCTATCTACTCAGTAAGCTGGTTTTGTTTGACCTATGATAAAACTGTGGTGGCAGAAAAGTGAGAACATTTACCCAAGTTACATTGTTAGTAAGTAACAGAACCAGGACTAGAGTCACTAATCTGATTCCAGAATTCACACTCTTATACACAAGTGGATTTTCTGATATCTAGAAAATCTATACAATGTATGAAAGCCTACCTAATTTTATCCTAAATAGAAAAGGGAGAGATATGGTTTAGGAAGGCCGCCATTCCAAGTTACTTGACAAACTGCTAATGTTATAGTAAAATCGAACATTTCTGTTACCTATAAACATGACAGGAAGCCCTCCCAATGTAAAGCCCTTCTGTTGCGAATTTTCAAAAAAGTTGTATAAAGCTCCAGATGTCTTACCTATGGTTAACATTCCTCTGAGAAGTATCATATGAAGGTGAAGAGTAGTTGGAATAACCAAACCAACTGCAAAACAAATATTCGCTACATGAAAAACGAGATGATGTATTTCTCTCCAGTTTTCACACGTTGTCTCATTGGAAGGCACAGGGGTGACGCTTTCTAACTCAGACGTAAAACCTATTACAGTTGGTTCTGCCAGCAGGCTAGACTCTGTATAATTCATGTCGAAAGGTCCTGCGAAACCAAACAAAACAAATGGACAATCATAAAAATGGCAATGGTATCTTTTCACTCCTCTGACAAGTATAGTGCCAAAAATTATTTGTACAACTTGAATATCAGAAAGTAGGCTTCTCTGTTGTTCATGAACTAATAGGTTCAAATCCTAGCTCTGTAACATATTAAATATACCCATTTCCTAATCTGTCAAGTGATTATAATACCTCTTTTGCTTTAAGATTTACAGAAATGAAACATACAAAATACTTCACATAATGTACAATTATCTTTCTGATATACATGCATATATCAGATATATATGTGTTCATATATATATTTAGATGTATATATACATATTTATGGGAAGTGAATAAATTAACTAGCCTAAAATACAATCACCAATGTTCACAAATCATAACAATTATGAAGTTATTTATATAGTTTTCCTTTATATTCATGCTGGTGACACTGAAGCATAGGAAAAATAGAAAAATAGAAAAAACAGAGTTGGAAAACTTTAAAAGTAAATACACTCATATTTGCCACTTGAAAGCTTAATATAATTAGGAGGCTCTATTTTTATATCATTGAGTCATGGTGTCATTTGTATATATGTAATACATTGTATATATGTAATATGTAATATATGTGTAATCACATATATTACTATGACTATAAATATATACATATATACAGAAAGATATAATATTTAGTGTCTTTTATTATATAACTTAAATCTGTTTGCATTCCCATAACAATTTTAGTTGGTAGTATCTTACAAATTAAAATATAGTAAACTTTCAGTTTACTTAAATGTGGGAGTTGTGAATACATACTTCAATAGTAAGATCCAAGAAAGAGGATGTGCTAGGGATATGGTGGACACTGGTAATCTCAGCATCAGGAAGGCTGAAGCAGAGATCTAAGTTCAATGGCTTCCTGGCTTACCTAGAAAGAGACTCTGTCTCAAAACACACCAAAAACAGCTGGGAGCCGGCGGTTCACACCTGTAATCCTAGCTACTTGGGAGGCTGAGATCTGAGGATCACTGTTCTAAGCCAGCCCAGGCAGGAAAGTCTGTGAGACTCTTATCTCCAACAAACCACCAGAAAACCAGAAATTGCACTGTG